CAGGAGAGAAACTGTGTGATGTGAGAAGAGCTGGTGAGAAAAAGAGACAGTTCAGAGAAAAACACTGCAGAAAAAATGAAACAAGGATGGAAGGAAAAAAACAGGAAGTGAGAAAATAAAGGATGGAAGAATTGAAAAAAAGTCCAGTATTCACAACAGGATCTGCTGCGCCGCACTGAATGGTGATTGACAGCGCTAAGATCCGCCTACTGGCTCTGACTGGTTGTTTCTAGTTAGCGCTGACTCAAGGCAGATGATAGTTTGGATTATATGTATCAAACAGATAAAACCAATATGTAAAAAAATAATTTATAAACATTGATTCTTTTGTAATGTTTGTTAAATTATGATTTTATTCTAATAAACAACATATTTATTATTATTGAGTTTATTTGACCGGGACAGACACACATCGACATGGATAAACTGAATAAAACAGCCCCATGTTTGTCATAGTGCAATAAAAACAGCTAATTCGCAGCACTTGTCCCTAGAAGTGCTGCGAATTGTTACTTTAAATATAATTTAAATTAACATATTTTAATTACTTTTTTATTATAGAAAAAAATATTTATTCTAAACAATATTTATTGCAATAAATACAATATGATTTTATTGTAATTCAACTTCTATGCACCATAAATCTGGAACAAACTTCCTGTAATGTTTGTTAAACTGTTGACTGCACGGTGTTTTCTTTGTAGCTTTATCACTTTGTGTTTTTATTACTTAAAGCAACTTGAACAAATAAAACAAATAAACTTGACTTGAGTTGTTATTTGTGGCAGAGTGTAATGGGGATCCTTAAATAAACAAAGCTGCTCAACAACACAAGATGAGCTTTTACTCCACAATCCAATAAGAAGAAAAACAGGAAACGCTGAAATTCTGCAACCACAATAGCAGAGCAGATATCGATCATAAATGTCTCCCCTCACCTTCTCCCCCTCCTCCAGGAGGCGCAGTAGGGACGTGTTGTCGGTCCTCTGCTCTTCTTCTGGACCTCCAGACTCCAGCAGCTGGTCCTGAAGCTGGTCCTGGCTGTCCTCGTCCGTGCCGTCAGCTGTGGAGCGAGACCTCTTCAGAGGAGCCTTCACCAGACCTGGAGGGCAGGAAATAAACACACCGACAGGCAGTAAAATGGATGAGTAAGAAGCTAAAACAGATGCTGACTAATCAAATCTATTATAAATCATTTAATATTTAAAAATTACATAATCAGATGGACCAAAATATAAAGTTAAATGGAAATTGTGATATTTTAAGGACCAAATGACAATAATTTATACAAGGAACAAAAATTAATAAAATCAGGAAAAACATAATTTTTCAATTCAGTTTCTGTCAATAAAAAACTGACAACAAAAACAGCTAAAAACTGTTGAATTTCTGGTTAAAACATGTTTGTTTTTCATTCAGTGGGTAGAGAATCCAGAAATGTTACTCGAGAGTAGAAATACTTCATAATAAAATTACTGGAGTAAAAGTAAAAGGTACAGTGTAGTAAAAATACCCCTAAAAATATGTTTTATTAAAAAAGTTACTCATTTAAATGTAACTGAATAAATGTAACTAGTTACGACCCAACACCGGGTAGATCAAACACGATTTTCAATTTTAATCAGAAAACATTAAAATAAAAAAATGTGGGCTTACTAAATATTTTATCTTTCTTGCTCCTATATTACTAGAAGCTTTAATTAGGTAAAATCAAAGCTAAAATGTAGTTTCTATATAGGATTTTGTATTTGTCTGTGCCTCACTGCACATCACGGGTCGAACAGGAAATACTTGTATTAAATCTTTGTCACCTTTGACCCTAGCGATGGTGTCCTCTCCGTGCTCCGGCTCGTGCTGCGCTGTCTCTCCCTCCGTGCTGTGCTCCACGGAGTGCTGGTACATCCCCGGGTTTCCAGACAGCAGCCGCATGTAGTACTCCTTGCTGTCGTAGCTGATGGCCCGGCGGTACCGCAGCGGCTTCTGGAGGCGAACGAGAATCAAACCTGAGAGAGCCGCTCATATTTAAAGGTGCAAACATCAGGCACATGCAGGAGTTAGTGATGATTTAATCCACAGTAGATGTACGTCGCATCAGGTTAGAGGAACCTGCAGTTCTGGAAAGAGTTAGGGTTAGATCAGGGACAAATCAGAGCTCTTCCTGTACCAGTTTATCCCTCTGAAGTTTTTATGCAGCAACTCTGATCCACATATTCACTCCAAAAACAAAAGATTCCCAAGTATTTGTGTCTGTTTTTTAGTGCAAACATCTCAGTACAGTTAAAATAAGACAAAACTAACTTACACATAACGTTTCACCAAGATATAAGAGCCTGTTTTAACAATTCCTCAATAATGATTAAAAAAATACGAGATCCCCTGGCAGCTTATTTAACTTATAACAAGACATTTCTCCCCTGCTATAAGGTAAATAATCTGCCATTCTGTTTTAATAACCCTTTCAATGTTGATGGGCAGCAATATTCGTCGTTATATTCATCGTCGATGTCATAAACTAAGTCTTTATACACTTTGATAATGTAAGAATGTGCAGAAAGTGAGAGCCGTGGTGCTTCGATACTTGAAGATCCTGGCAGAATCAGTGAATTTGCAGCCCAGCTAAAGCCATGCTGTATTTATTTTCAGCTGCAGATTTAAAACATGCGGCAAAAAAACTGATATGTGGGTAATTAGTCTGGACAGGGAGGGCAGGAGGGTACCTGAGCTGAGGGGAAGAGGGGCACCAGAGGGGGGAAGAAGGGCTGGAAAGGTCACAAAAACGAGGTTGAGACTGTCGTAATAAAGCTATGAGCGATGCAACACTTTTTATTTCTGTCTATATGTAAAAAACTAAAAAACATAATCCACCATATGTATGCAAAACATTTTTTTTTACAAAATGCTTTTTAGCATTTTTAAAGACAAAAATTAAAACTCTTCCTGATCCTTATAGCTGCGATATGTAACTTTTATAAAGAATATGGTTTTATATATTTGTTAAAACTGTCACCATGTCATGACCATTTATGATGGACTGTTTATGGTCAAACCTACCCGAAATGACCAATCAGAGCCAGGAGGCGGGTCTTAGCGCTGTCAATCACGCTCCATCATTGCTAAATGTGTTAAGGTCAGAAAAACAACTTACCTTTACAGTAAAACTGTTTATGCACAGTTACAGATGGCCATGCTAACTAGCCTTAGCATTCGGGATATTTTCGGACTGTGATTGACAGCGCTAAGCCCCGCCTCCTAGCTCTGATTGGTTGTTTCTAGTTAGCAATGGGAGAAAGTGGGTGAACTTGTAATACTATGACTTTATTGTGATATTTCGACTTATTCTCATAATATTGTGACTCTACGAATAATCTGACTATTCTTTAAATATTATGACTTTACTCTCATAATTTACAACTTTAAAAAAAATGACGCAGTATTTTGTGGGGGTTTTCTATTTGCTGTTATTGTTTCTGCTCAATATCTTGTTTTGGAAATGATGCTGAAATTGTAAATAAACAAAACAAAACTAAAACAAAGACAGACATGTTGGTAACCAGCACTGGTCTTGCCAGAGTTTGTTCTTGACGTGGAGCGGAGTACCTGAGCAGAGTTGGTGTTGGTCTCGGTCTCGGGGATGTACGGGTAGTGGATGTAGAACATGTCGTTGCGGACCATCTTCTTCCTCATGCGGCACGGCCCCTCCGTCATCTCCAGCGTGAACTTGTCCAGGTGGGAGCCGATGGGCGGCCCCCAGAGGCCGCGCTCGCGCAGCAGCTCGTACTCGATGGCCGCCCACTCCTCCGTCACGTACTTCAGGGCGTTCTGCTGTCGCTGCCGGACACAAGATATGGACGGAAACTTTTCAGACACAATCCAGGTAAGTTTTCAGATAAAAATACAAACTAAAATTTACTGCAATACATTATTTATTACTGTTATTAATGATGACTTGTGATCGTATTATTAGGCCTGTCAATAAATCAATTAATCGCATGATAAGTTAAAAACAAGCTCAATAACTTTTCTCTCTTTGTACCAAAAATCTTCAGTCTGGAGATTTTGTTTCACCTTTTTCTGAAGGATAATTTTGTTTAGAGAGACTTTATAATTCATTTAATTTGTTGTTTTATTTATTTTGGATATTTAAAATGTCTTCCAGTTCTGGTGTTAAATGTTCATTAAAATTTAAAGTTTATTGGTCTCTGAGAACGTGTTCTTCCTTTATTATGTCATTAGCATTATATAACTTTAAAATAATCTCTAATTAACAATATTATCGTTTATCGTGACAAATGATAAAGCCCAGAGAGACATTTCCTGTGCGCCGTTTGGTACCTCTTGATGCTCTTTGTACTGCATGGCGACGAGGTCCCTAACGACGGCGATGTGGGTGAACATCCACTGGAACGTTTCCTGTCGGTCAGAACGGCCGCCGGGTTCAGCTCAGGAAAATCTTTTCATGTTTACTTTTATTTTTTTACAGCTACCTGTGCAGACGGACTGTTTTTGTTCAGGCTGTTCTCCTTCTTGTTGCGCCGCACTCCGGTCAGCTTGGACAGGCCGAAGCCGCTGCTGACCCGTGACAGCTTGGACTGGGCCGCCGGCGCTGCCGCTTCGCCGCGACTGATGCACTTTTTCTCGTGGGCTGAGAAGAAAAAATAATAACGAAACAACAATCCGTGATGATTTAAAGTGTTCACAAAGCCGCTTTAAGAAGCCAGATGGATAGCCAGACTCTATCCATCCATCATTACATCACTTTTTTGTCCTTTCATTCCTTCATCCTTAATTCCTTCTTTCTTTCCTTCCTTTGTCCTTCTTTCTTTCCTCTATTTCTTGCTCCCTTTCTTAATTTTTTATTCGTCTGTCCATTCTACCTTTCTTCTTTCCTTCCTCTGCCAATTCTTCCTACTTTCCTTCCTTCCTTAATTTCTTCCTTATTTAATTCCCCTGTCCTTCCTTCCTCCCTTCACTTTTGTCCTTTCTTCTGCTCTCTTTCTCTTTTTAAACATCTACCATCTCCATTGGCAGATTATTTCACTTATAATGTGTGAAAAGTTTTGTGTTATTAGTGAATTTATCTGCCAAAGGAACTGGCTTTTTTCATCTGTTTTAAGGAATTATTTACTAAAATAAGCTTCTATCTTTTGCTCAAAACTTATTTACAAGTTTTGTCTTATTTCAAGAGTACTAGGACATTTGCTCAAGAAGCTAAACCAAAACACTGAGTAGGATTTAGTATTTTTGCAGTGTGTGTTCCCGTCTGCCGTGTTGTTGCCGTGGTTTCTCTCACCCAGGTGGTTCTGCCAGCTCTTCAGGGCCGGTTCCTCCAGAGCGGGCCGGGCCGTGCTGATGTCCACGTGTCCTCTGTCATTGCAGGGCAGAGACACTTTGAAGATGTCCTCCAGCATCTGCCGCTTGCTGTGCATCAGCTCCGTCCAGACGCGGTTCACGGCCTTCAGCAGCAGCTGTCGTCCTGCACAGGAGGGACAAGTTTTATTTCTAATGCGACAAAACCATGAAAGAAACTTCAGATCAATTAAAAATCGTTTGTGCGTCTTCATTAGATCTTTCTAAAAGGAGAAATCTCTCCATCGGAGTGCCGTGTCTCACCCTCGCTGACGTCATGGCTGTGCGTGGAGTCGGTTTCGTTCTCCGCTGGCATCATGACGTGCCAGGTGGTCATCCTGGCCTCCGCCTCCAGACCGAAGCCCTCCACGCTGCTGCAGACACACAAACAGGGAGGGAACCTCACTGCAGAACTACTCTGTAAATGCATTTATACTCTTAATACATTCTGTAAAATCTGATATTAAAGCCAGAATCCTGAAATTCAAATCAGAATTCTGAATTTAAATGTCAGAATTACTAAAAATTCTTTTTAGTTATTCAGAATTAACATTATCATTGAATATTCTTCTTTTTTTCCCAGTGGCCCTAATCCTCTTCCATAAGAGATTTACGTTATAAAAAGCCATTATTAAGACAAATATGTTTCAGATCAAATTTAGACATGCCAATGTGTTGCGTCTTTAAATACATAAATAATGCTAGTGCATTATTTATGTGAATAATGCCAATGCATAAATCTGCAAATGTTCAATGATCTTTGCTCCATATTCAGATTTAAACACATCAGAGATGTTCTATGTAAATTTTCCCCCCAAACAACAAACAAAAAATAAAAAACCTCCTGGTACTTTTTGCAGTTGTGGGCTTCCGTACCTCCCGCTGTGCAGGCAGATGAAGCAGTGAGCCAGACAGGCCACAAAGTCCTGGTCATGGTTTCCGGGCCCCAGCACCAAATTGCGGTTGACGGTCAGGACCCGCAGGGCGTCCAGCAGCGCCACCTGCTGGGCCACCGTCTTGTGGGGCCGGCAAAGCTGGTAGAGCACGGTCCGGTTCAGGCAGTGGTAGATGGTGTCGAGAGAGAGACCCTGGGACCGCCTCTTGGACTGGAAGCGAAGGGAAAACGTGTTATAATGCCGCGGTCAGAATGGGAATAAAGCTGCAGAAAGAAGATAAATCTGCAGAGAAATTACCCAACAAGCCAGTTAGAGTTTAACTACGAACACATTCTGGTTATATGAATACTAAAATAACTTTTTGACTGCTAACATGTTAAATCTATAAAATTCAGATGTGCTTTATGGCTTCTTGGGTCATTTCCTCTAAATAATCTCCTAATCTTATCCACTGCACAACAATCAAGTTATGCTGTATTTTTATATTTTTCTCAACTTAAAACTTTTATCCAAATCCATAAGATGAAGGTCTGATACTAACGATTACTTTAGTAATTGATTATTTGATTGATTATTCTAAAATTATTCAGATTAAAAATGAGCACATTCTGCAGATTTTTTATTGAATAATTTAGTCTTTTTTGTATCATAATAAGAATACGCTAAAAGATACAAATAAACAAATAATTAAATTAACTTTTTAAATAAGAACATAATTATTTTATTGCCTAAAATACATTTGTAGCAAAGGATACATCTGCAGCTAAAATATAATACTAACACCAACGTGTGAAAAGCTCAGCTGTTAACATGAATACAGTTTACCGATTAACCAATTAATAAGCAATAACTGGATAGCAAAAGGTGTTTAAAAAGACATTTTTATACACAATTTGAAATTGGGTGAAGCTTAAAATAAACCAATTCATTTCTGGGTTGAACATATTTACAGATAAATTTTATCTTAAATGCAAAATGTTTATTTTTTTCAGGATTTTTGGAATAATATCTGCTTGAATGTTACTCTTTCAGCAAATGGCCAGCAAATGATGAATGGATTATTTCAATAATCAATTCATTATGATTAATCTGATTAATTGTTTCAGCTCTAATTTATTTGTTGCAGTTTATGTTCTTTCACTTCAAGCAGATTCAGGAGGGAAAAGGCATCTTCCTGGACGTTAATCTGCATTTCTCTTTTTATTGTCAATTAATTCTGAAATTAATTGACAATATTATTAAATCTGACCAATTTTTCAGCCCTAATTAGATGTAAACTAGATATCTATACATATAGGGAGCTTTATATCTATAAATATAGACACTAAAATCCCCAACTGTCTGACAAAGTTCCCCTAAATGCTTCAGCATTAATGTAATTTTGCTCATTTCAAGGTAAAATTGGCAGATATGGTTTCCATCCCCATGCATGCTGCTCCTCTAATCACATTCTGCAGATGGACTGGCTCCATTAACTGGAAAAAAGATTCAATCATTCAGCTCAGGCAGCTCACGAACCCGGGTCCATATAAAACGTTGCAACATTATATAAGCAATAACTTTTTTAAAAAGATGAGATTTTGGCTGCACCTGTCCGATCAGCTGCACGATGAAGTCCACCACCAGCTTGGAGTCCTTGTTGAACATTCCCTGCCACAGCTTGTCCACGACTCTCTGGGTGAAGTAGAAGACGTTGTTGACCAGGATCTGATAACTGCCGCCGGTGCTGAGCGGCAGAGAGGCGTCTTCACCTGGACGGAGACGCACAGAAAAGCACACCTGTCAAGTCCCACGTTTTGGCCGGGAAACTGTAGTTTTTTACCCCTTTTTCCCGCCATCCTCCTGTATTAGTATTTTCCTGTAAACTTCTGCTGCATAATCATTTTAAATAAGAATTTCTGTGCCTCTCCAAACTAAATTAGGTCACTAGGCTTGTGATAACGGCCTGCAGCAGTGGTGGTCTGATGGGGCGACATCGGGCACAGGGGCGGATTCAGCCTGGTGTCTCATCCAGTTGTTCTGCATGTCTTTCTGAGGAACAGGCTGGTTTCCCCCACTCTAGCAGAAGTTATGTTATGTGTTTTATGTGTTAAGGAAAAGTATTTTTGCAAAGCATGTTCATTTTTCTAAGGTTAATTATTTAAGGTTTGCAGATTATTTTGTTTCTAAAAGTAAAACCAAGATTTAAGTTCTGAAGTCCTTAAACATTACAATTTAGTCAACTGTTAACATTGAGTACAATCTGAGTCTGCTGTAATTCACACTGTCATCATAGCAGTCTGATTTTTAAAATGTTTGATTGATATTAAAGCTCTATTGGAGAGAATGTGGTAAAAGATACTACAGATATGGATGTTACGAAAAGGTTTATTTGAATGTATGAACACTTTAAAGCTCACATGTTTCAGTTATTGGACACTAAAATACAGGAATTGGAGCTCAGGGAAATAACTATAAAATAAGTGTTTTGCAAAATAAAGAGATGCAAACTGGATGACAGGCGCTACACATTGTGTTCATTGCTGCTGCGCCTTTTCTGTATTTTCACAGACTTATGTTCTATCAATCATGGGCCCAAAATCTAATACACTTTCTGGGATTATTAACTTTAAACAAGCTCCTTTATCTGAAGCTGAAAAGTTAACTGTAAGTTAGTTTAGTCAGATTTCAAGTGTAATAAGACATTTGCAGCAGCAATTAGACCAAAAATACGTGGAAGGATTTTGCGAATGAAGGATTCACTGGAGCAGAAGCTGCTGTAATTTGCTGCTTGTGGTCCATTTATAAAGCTTCATAAAGAGCTGAGGAACGCTCAGCGCCACATTACGTCCCTCTGGAGCCTCTTGCTAATTGAATCGTGTTGATTTTCTATAATTAAATCCCTGAGCTGAGAGCATAAAGCTGTGATTGGGAGATAAATTAACAGAACCCCTTCTTTTCCTCACTGTAAAAGTTGAAGGTGAAATGGGCTGATTGGTTAAAATCTGCTGACACCTGGACTTTGTACTGCAAAAACACAAAATCTTACCAAGTATTTTTGGAGTAGCTTCTAGTGCAAATACGTAAAGAACACTTGAAAAAAGACAAAGCTAACTTACAAGTAACTTTTCAGCAAAATATTAGAGCTCATTTTAAGTCAATAATTCCTTAATATTTATTTAAAAAGTACTAGTTCCATTGGCAGATAAATTCACTTATTTGTAAGTTAGTTTTGTCTTATTTAAAATGCACTAGAAACTAGACCAAAATTACTTGGGGGATTTTGTGTTTTTGCAGTGTGGGAAGTGTTTCAGTCTTGGCTCTGACCTAGAAGGACGTCTGCAGCCAGAAGATGCTCCATGACGCCGTCCAGGATGCTGGACTGAAACTCCTTCTGCTGGGTTCTGGTGGAGCGATCCGGGGAGGCCTGCAGTTTAAAACACAAACAGGATCAGGAGACGATCCAAACTTATAACCGGAGGTCGAGGTGTGAAGACAGCTGCCTGTACCTCCAGCAGCATGTCTATGATGGGCGTCTGCTTGCTGGCGGGGGTCATGCACATGTTGTCCATGATCAGGACCCTCATGAAGTCGAACACATATTTTTTGGCGGGGTGGTTCGTCAGGGAGGTTTTGGAGCCCACGTTGCAGTATTCGGACTGGCTGCGGTTCATACCGGTGTCCCCAGCAAAGGCCTTGAACTCTTCGGTGGGAGAACCGGCTTCGTCGTCCAAATCGCTCACCTGAAGGCGATAAAAGGGAAACAATTAGTCTATTCAGCTTTACTGCAATAAAAATACAACTCTCATTCACCCAGTTCTCAATTTCAACCCCACAGAGGTTAAAGAAGCCATAATTTCTTTTTTAACCCCTTCAATACTGTTAAGACTTCAATACTTAACTCATTTTTTTAGCGAGAAACTTTAACAATCACAGCAGCTCAAAGAGAGACTCAAATCTTTTAATCTCCCAGACAGATCATCTGATTATTTATAGCATGATTTCAAGCCTTCAGTAAAAGAGAAACTACTAATTCAGTGAAGTCACGTTTCTCTCACTGTGTGTCTCTGTGCAGAGCTCCACACACTCACCATCTCGGAGTACGGCCTGATGTTAAAGGGGAAGACGGTGGCCGCCAGGGCGCAGAGGAACTCCGGGCTGTGCCACATCGGGGCGAGGTCGGCCACGTTGTGGTAAAGGTACCTAAAGAACTGCATGAGGGTCACCGGGTACTCCCGGAGCCAGGAGCCTTCCTCCTCAGACTGCCAGGGCTGCAGGGAAACACGACAAATATTAAATATCCACCAAGGCCTCAGCAGCTGTCACTTCAAACCTTAAATCCTTCCATTCAGAAAAACAAAGATGGTAGAGTCATTTCTGCTGTTTTATTGGGAACCTTAAGAGAATAAAGACAGATTTTAAGGTTTTAAATGGTTTTTAAAGAGGACAGAACTTAAAGAGGACAGAACATGGAGAAATGTAGGTGTTATCCAGGATGAGTTCCCCTCGACTACAAACTGAATTGGGAACATTAATCCCAAAAATGTCATAAATGCAAGAACAGACAACACTGATTTAAAACTCTTTTGACTTTTTTGGTAAATTCAAGTTTTCTGGCCAGAACCAATTAAATATCATGACATTTACTTAGTAATAACATGATTGACGTTTAACTTGTGTCGATTTCCTTCTCTCCTTAAAGCTGATGAAAAATGTGATTTCTGACCAGGTTGAGCATGCTGCGCAGCATGGCCAGCAGCAGGAAGGCGGCCTCGGTGCAAACGCTGTGGATGGAGCCGACCACCGCCCCGCTGGAGGCCGGCATCCCGAAGATAAACGTCCAGATGGAGTCCAGGTCAAACTGACAGTGAAAACACACAAACCAGCTCAAGTTAGACCCAAACTGACTTAACACTTAAAAAAATGAATTACGGGTATATTTCCTTAATTTAGGTAAAATTTGTTGCAATATTTAGAGACTTTTCAAGCCAAAAATCAGAATCGGGAGGTCAAGTTTTTTAAAACAACAAAACTTGCAGTCAGTGCACCCCTTGATATAACAATTATTTTAGTTTTAGCTAACAGGTAACCATCAGCCTGCCACTCCTCTTTTTTTTCCAAGACTGAACACTGCTGGAACAAAAACAGTTAAAACTGTAATTAAAAGCTCAAATAAACCCAGTTCCCAATTACATAATATCAAAAATAACGGTGGGCCAAGTATTAAATACTGAGGAAACCCACAAGTTAAAGAAGCGTCACAAAGGGATTTTTTTAAAATTATTGTTGTGTATCTTTATTACTATTTTATCTTCTGGTTTTTAGCATGAAACATAATTTTGATTCCTCGTTTGTCTTGTATGGCAATAACTGACAAAAATAGCAGTTTTTTTTTTTTTTTCAACAGAGAAACGTTTTTAAATAAGAAGAAAACTAGTCCACCGTAGAGCTAAGAATGCTAACGGATGATTAGCTTTCCCTAGAAAGGCTAGTTCATTTGAATATTTTTAGAGGTACTCATGAGAGTAAAGTAAAAGAAAATGGGCATACTAACATGTACCTGCAGGCTGTCTGGCAGCTCAGTGACAGGCTGCTGCAGGAAGAGAGCCATAAGCAGGAAGTAGAGCTCAGGAACATTCGTGTGTTTGGGCAGCAGCGTCTGCAGAGCAGGGAACCCTGGGAAATGGCAGGCGTCCTTGTTGATTTCTCGCACAGTGGACCGTCCGCCGGCGTTGCGGCCAACGTTGAAGCCTAGAGATGAAGGTGGGGGAGCAGAACGAGGAGTGAATAAAGCTGGGAGGCTGATGCACCTGCAGGGAGATCTAAACTGGACTTCTGCACCTGGTTTGGGGTTCAGAGGAGCTAAAATATTTCGGCTAGAACTCCAAATCAGAACGAAACTAAGGGGTTCCTTTCAGCACACATTCGGCATAAGGGGGGAAGTTCTGGAAGCAGAACCAATGGTTCTCAACCTGCGAGTCAGTTTGTATTCTCAGGTATTTAAAGGGGCAGTATCATGTAAAAGTGACTTTTTTTGAGCTTTACTAATATTATTTCCTAATAAAAACAAACCTGGAATGTTGTTTTGATTCTTTCATGCAAACCCTTCAATCTCCATGGCAACCACTCAGCTGCTAAACACCTGGGTGGACCTAGCCCCGCCTTCGAGGACGAAGCTCCGCCTTCGAGCAGCAGCTTTCAATAATCCAAGCTTGCAACTCACAGAGCAGCTCTCCACTGTGACTCCCCCACTTGGCTCCTACAGACTAGCTATGAGCAATTAGCAAACACCTGATGGAACTGGGCATCTACTGAACTCACAGCTATTTCTTAGTGTAACCTTGGTAAAAACATTGTTAATTGGGGAGCAAGGCTAAGATGACTTCCTGAAGGCAGCGTTTCAGGAAGAGCAGAAGCTTCTTAAAGACACAGAGGCCCAATTTAAAGATGTTAAATTACAATGTCAAATTTCTTTTAAGTAATATTTGATATACATAGCACTTTTATATCAACTCAAGGTAACATAGTTAATTGACTGTGTTGTAAAGCTGCACTTTGTGCATGGAAAATAAATAACACTGCCCCTTTAAAGTATTTTGGGAGGGTTTCTGAAACTAGGGTAGGTTGAAAACCACTGAGCTCAGGAGGAACTATGATTTCTGCAGCAGGGGGGACAGCAAGGCGAATAATAAGAGGACGAACCCTTGGCTGTGCGGCGCACAAATTGAGCAGCTTTCTGTTTACTGAACGAAGGCCAGCTCCGACGGAAAGCGTTGCCGGAGTGCGGAGAGTCGTCTGCTGAGCCATGTTACAACATACAGGGTTTTACGCTAGACATCAAACCTCCGCCTGTTCATGTTCATGCAACAAAACCACCTAACTTTAGCTAAACTGAGGTTTGGATCTGCGTCAAAGTTTGATTCGTGTGGTGAAGCGGCGCTCTGCGCTCACCCAGGACCGTGCCGATCTTATTGGTCAGGACGGAGTCGGTGTGGTCCAGCCAGCCGCCTCCGCTCAAGCCCTCCCTGAAGCGGTTCAGGATGGGCTGGTTGGACAGCAGCACCACCAGGATCCGCAGCGCCACCGTCACCGTGGTCGAGTGCAGATGCTCCTCCATGAACATCAGCAGCCAATCGAAGCCCAGCGTTCGCACAAACTCCTCACACGCCCTGCAGAAGCAAAGAGAGTTAGATCAACCGTAAGGAACAAACCTCTGTGTTCCCTGGACAGGTTCCTCCATCAATCAATAATGTTTATTTCAATGCAGTTCAAATTGTTTTACATGACAAAAACAGAAAAATACAAAGTCATAAAAAAAACATCAGTCAGCAATAGACTAAACTGGTAAACATTACATTTTGATGAGTGCCATCATCCAAACACATCTAATATGTCGGCCAATATTTCATATTTTATGGCTCAAAATCAACTCTAGACATAAACAAAAAGTTGTTGCACACTGCAAAAAGTAATTTTTGTCTACTTTCTAGTGCAAATATCTTAGTCCACCTGAAATTAGACAAAACTAATTACATGCAACTTTCCAGCAAATTAAAGTAGCTTGTTTTAAGTCAATAATTAATTAATATTGATTAAAAAATACTGGTTCCATTGGCAGATTGTGTCCGATTGATTATTCATAGCATTTATCTGCAGCTGAAAAATACTTCAGCCTTTTCTGGTTAACATCATTACAGCATAGGGCTTATTTTCTCTATTAACTGTTTAATAATTGCATAACCAAAGGTGCTTAATAGGATATTTTTTGTGCAAAATTTGAATCTGGCGAAGCTGAAATGATGCCACTTGGAGTTCTAGGTAGAAAATATTAATAAAGATCGTTTTTTATCTTAAATAGACAATGTATAAATTTTTAGGAAAGTTTTGGTTTAATTACCGTTTTGGATGTGACATTGTTTCAGCAAATTGCCCTTTTTTGAGTCTGTATACTCCAACCTATGATTTATCGATTAGTAAGTAGTTGACTATAATCGATTCATTAATCGTTACAGCCATAATTTATTTGTTGCAGTGTGTGTTCTTTCACTTCATGCAGATTCAGGAGGAAAACGGCGTCTTACTGGACGTTAACTGTGCATTTCTCCTTCGTAGTGAAAAGCAGCTTCAGCAAATTGTCCAGAAGTCGATTCCTCAGCAAGATCAGACTGGCTGACAGGAGGCCGCCGAAATCGTCGTCGTTACCTGCAAACAGAACAACGTTTCCAGAAGTCACATCTAAGGCTCTACGTTTATTTCCAGATCATTCACTACGGAAATGCTGCAGGGGAAGAAATTCAATAATAATCACCTCCATCTATCTTCTCCTCGTTGTTGATTTCCATGACAACAAACTTCTCACACACAGCGAAAGTGGGGAGAGTCGAGGAGATGAACTGGCCAAACCTGGGAGGCAGAAAAACAAACTTTCCGTTCCTCATTCTCTTCCAGTAACTTCACATTCTACATATTTTAAAAGAACTGCTGTATAAATCAAGGAAGCTGATCTAATATGAACAAATCTACACTCTGTTCAAATGCTAGAATTTTGTGGCGTAAAAAATGAGATAATGAAAAATCATCTAAATTTGTTTTCCAGCGTGATTGTGATGTATTTTCTATTAAACTCAAAGGTAACAAAGCAAATCTGCTACAGGGGAACTGATTAAGCTACCTGGTTAAAACTTATAAAGCCTGAAACTCATATTTTTGCTTTGGATTCCTTCAAAAACACTTATAACTGCCTATTTCAATAGTTCAAACACCAAATATCCTTAAATATGCATTAATACGCACTGTGGAAACCATATAAGCACTGCTGCAGAAGCTAACATCTAGCTTACAGCCAATCAGGATCAGTGTGCGTGAATGCCTGCGTGTGCATGCGTGTGTGTGTGTGTGTTCACCTGAGCAGGTCGTATGGGTTGGGGAAGCCTTGCAGCAGCAGGCTGAGGACGTTACTGATGGCAGCCACCGTTGGCTGCGACAGCGACGTGTCGCGCAGCGTCAGCAGCAACCTGGGGATCAGCTGAAACTCCCGCAGCAGTTTAGCGTTTTTTGCTGCTTCACTGTTTGAGCAAAACAAAGTTCATTTTATTTTCACGCAAGAAAGCAAACAAACAAACACAAAAAAAAGTTAAAAGCAGAATTTTATTTTAAGAGATTTTTAAAAATGTTTGATTCTTGCCTGGACTCGGTCAGCAGCTCATTGAAATGCTCAAAGAGAGACAGGTGGAGTTCGTAGGGGGCATGAAGCCAAACCTGAGGGGCAGAAAGACAACACTGTAAAACCTAGTTACTTCTCTTTACTTAAAAAACAGATGCAAGCTCTATTTGGTTTTTATTAAATTAACTGATTGGGTGACATTAACTTGTGCAATTTAAGTGAGTGTAAATTAAGTTAACTTAATAAATCTGAGTATGTTGTAATTAGTTAAATTATTTTATAGAAATAAAACAAGCATTTTGTATTAAAGGTTTTTTATTTAAAAAAAATTCTATTAAAAAAATCTTGTATAATGCTTTTTTCTACAGAAAAGCTCTTTAACCTTTTGTATAAACTTTTTTGTATTTTTTTTATACAAAGAAAATGTTTTATACAAAAAATGAAGCTTTGTTGTATAAAACTTGGTTTAGTCAGTTGCTAATGCAGGTGGCACGAGTTTGAATTAACCAATTATTATATAATTTATATAATTATATATTATAAACCTCCCCCCAAAGAAATCACAGATATAATAGTGACCAAACCTTGACCAAAGTCAAATTATATTCACTCATTTTAAAATAAATTAAATACAGTACTACAGTTTACAATTTTTGCCATGTCTGTTATTATAAACGTTTGCCACCCTACAATCAGCAGAGTAAAACATTTCAGTGTAAGAATTAAGAGTTAAAAGCTCCTCAAAGCAAATGTTCTCACCTCAAAGTCACAAAGTAAGTCCTGAAAAGCGGTGGAGTTGGGAATGATGGAGGTTTCATGGCCGCTGTCCACCGTTCCCACCAGAGAGAAGGTGAGGTGGAGGATGTGGCTGTTGAGCAGCGAGCGCTTCTTCTTTAGCAGCATAGCTAGCAGCTAAAGGGAGAAAACAAAATGAATCCACTCTTTAGATTTGTTCTTTAAGTTTAAAGAAGTCTGTGTCTTCCTCGTCTGATGGATTCCAGTCAAAAATGCTGTAATAGCAATGATATACCAGCTGGGGGCGACATATTTCACAACAAAAATTCAAAAGAAGAAAATGAGCACGGCTAAAGCAAGGCATGGTTAAGATTATTCTAAGATCTCTACTAAAGATAAAGTTACACAACATTGTTAACACTTTAGGTAACTTTTGTAACCTGATTAGCAAAGTAGCTCAGGTTAGCATCGAACAGTGCCTATTAGTCACCATAGCTCGTGATGTAAGCCTGTCGCAGTAACCAATAAACCAATCAATCAAATGATAAATTCAAAGGAGCTTGATAATTTCCATTTGTAGGATTTATGGTTTTTCTCTCTTTCTACCAAATATTGGGTGATAAAAGTCTTGAGTCTGGTGCTTTGGTCTCAACTAGAGGCTTTTTTGAAGGACATTTTTGTTAACAGAGACCCTAGGAGCTATTTTATTTGTTAGTTTGGTTATTTTGTTTATTTACTTTAATATTTAAAATGTCTTCTAGTTGCAGTGTTAAACGTTTGCGAGAAATTAAAGCAACAATATTATCAGTTATCAGAATAACTTCTCTGACAATTTACTGTCTAGAAAAATTTGCTATCGTGACAGACAACAAATTTTGGTTACTATTACTATGTATTGAATTGTCAATGAAACCAGACTGTTCCGATGCTGGATGAGCAGAGTTGCGAAAATGGTCAAAGCGCAATTATTTCTTACCTGAAATTCATAAAATATGACTTAAATTAAGGCTTGATAGGTGGAATATGGCTTCTGTCAGTTGTGTAATGCAAAAGAGGACTAAACAAATTTCTCTTTTGCATAGATCCCACTCTAATAGACTTTTTTTTAAATACTTCATGAAATATTTTATCCTATATCATGCCTGTCATGAAGTAGTCCAGCTCATTTATTGAACTTTAGGAAATTACAGCAGCCACATTTTGCCCAGCAGAGGTAAAAAAATCAACTCTAAACAACTCCTATTATTTTTTCCTGCCCTTGCTGCTAATGCTACTGGGTTGCTATGGCAACCGACTGACAACAGCTTTACCAGAAAAAAGTTTGAGTGTGTCAGTCAGGCATCTACATTTGATTTTTTTTTTTTTTTTGCAGTTCCAAAATAGGAAGCGAATCAAGAATTCAATAAAAAGATAAAACGGAATTTTAAAAAAATTCACATCACAAACTTTGTGTGAAGACTGCAGATGCAAACGTAGGATAAATCTCCATTTGTAAAATGTTTGATCTTGTTCGTAATTCTGTTACTGTGACTGAAAATCACCAGTGACCCACCTGGTAGCCATTGATGCGCTCCATCTCCTTACTGGCCAGAGGGTTGCTCTTCACAACACACACCAACGCTTTAACAGCCGCATAGAGCCCCTCCACATCCGACGCCATGGCAACCAGGCCCAGGATGGCCGCGGCGCCGCCAACGTACTGCAGGTTGGTGGCAACAGGTTTGGGAACGAACGTACGGACACCTGAGAGGGTAAGAAAAGTGGAGGAAGTGTAATTTTCTTGATTCAGAGCTGCAGAAAGCAGCTTTGAAACTGGTTTAAGGAACTGGTTTACCTAAATATCCGATGACGGCGGCGCCAACGGTACGAGCGGGCCCGTTGAGGTGGCCCGCAGCGTTATGAATCAGCTTGACAGGAGTGGCGTTTTCATGGGAGGACACAGCGAGCTGAAGAAGGAAGGAGGCAGTTCAGTTTCGCTCAGTGTATGATAAGCCTGGCGGGCCACCAGGCTTTACTTGTTCCCCCACCAGGGTAACCACTGTTTATTTATTAAAGTCGTTTTAATAAAACAGTATAAACAGTCATGTGTTTGTTTTATTCACCAGTTCAGGTTTTTATTGTTCTATACACAAACAACTTCAGTATAAAGCGACAAGTTACAGAGAAAGGATAAAAAAATGTTGTAGACTTTAACTAGGATGAAACAACTGACGTGCAAACATTTTTATTTATTTTGGGTCACCGACTGCAGATTTCTGGCTGATCCCCGATTACCAATCTTTGAATCTGCTGATTCCGATTTTGGTCAACACCAATATTTTTGTGTCAAATGTCGCTAAATATAGCAAGAAAGTTGCTAGGATGACAAGAGTGAGGTTGCACAGATTTCCTTCACTTTGGGGGATTGGTGACCAGCCGATACGTTTATGTGAAGCCGATCTTATACCCAGATCTTATGTATCACCCTAAGGTCTAAAAATTAGCCACTGCCCTCTTCCGCTCTGCAGTGAGAGAGGTCTGATGGACCGGCCCACCAGGTAATGTTCGCACGTTTGCAGTTAACAGTATTTCTGGTTTATTCTGCTCTCCATATTTGATTCACATGAGATATTGGCTCAGTATTTCTCACCTGCTTGGCGATGGCTTTGCTGTCCAGTTTGTTGTAAACTTTCCTGATTTTAGCCACAGTGAGCGTCGAGACGGAGAGTCCATAGAGGCTGAAAGACACTTTCTCCTCTGGTACCAGAGCCACCGGAGTGGCAGGCGCAACCTCCGTCTTTGTGTCTTTACCTGTAAAACGATAAATGTTGGTGAAAACCAAAGAGAAAACCCACCTGTATGGGTGGAAAGATGGCGGAGTTAGTGATATCACAGAGGGTTCGCTCACAGGGCAAGTAGACGGCCTGAAAGCTGCCCACATAGTTTGGTCCCAGTTCAAAGATGGCGGCCACGCTGGTGGCTGGTAAAACCTCCTCCAGGAAGTGGCTGGCCCCCAGACGCCACACCAGGCTGGACAGCTGGCGCTGCGCGGGCGGTGTGCCGATGTAGCCGTAAACGGTGCTCACCACAGGCGGGTTGGTGGAGCCCGAGCCGCCCGGAGTGCTGTGGATGTAGTGAATCTGGACCGCAGGAGGAACGGTGGGAAAAAAAATTTAAAAAGAGATGTAAAGGAGGAGGAATTATGAGTTCAGTTTACACATAAGTGAAATAATCTGCCAGTGGAATAGGAGGAGTTAAGGTGTGATGGCACCCCAAACACCTGGGGGCAGCAGATCTTCATCATATGACGCTTCAATTGGGGCATTATGCCATTATATTTCAAAATAAAACACCACAAAAATATCCTTTTTAAAAAGTAACTCGAAGGTTTAAAAAAGTTCAATCCAGTTTTTACATGTGGGAATAATGTATGTTAATATATAATGTAAATAATCAACGGCTCATGGCAGAAAAACTAGAAAAATGCAGGTTTTACATCCTCTTATAGCTCAAAAATAAATTGTAATCAGTTAAAATTGTTATCCATATCTACATATATAATGAAAAAACTCATCTTTCATGTAACTCGTTAAATATTTAAACCAAAATAGAGGAAATCAACCAATCTGTTGTTTTGACAAGCAAGAAGTCTTTTAACCCAACCAGCTTTTTATGGAAATGCAGCACGTGATTTTAACCAATCTGAGCCACGTAGCAGCGGAGCGTTGTTTCCTGCATGTTGAACTCAGCAGGAAATGAAACCGCTGTTATCAGTGTTGCAGACAGGAAGCTGTGACTTGTGGTTTGGTGTTTAATCTCAGGGGGGAAATCTAAAGTCACCTCCGACCGCAGACCACATCACAGTCTGCTGACTGCTGCATGAACCGGCCAGCAGAAAGGCGTCGGTATCGGCTAAAACCAGGGTTTTACAATGTTAGCTGAGAGGATTTTTGTTTAGTGACAGAAACTTTTGTTCTGTCCAAATAAAGATCAGATACATCCTGATTTATTACAAAGAACTTCTCATTCTTTTTAATGTCTAACTTTTTACTGATCAGCTTTCTTAATTGCAGTAAAGCAACATCATCTGCAGAGACGAATCAATGAAAGAGTCTAAAATAAATTCCTCAAACTGACCTTATTTCTATGAATTAGGGCAGATGTGAAGGAAATCATCCTTCTCCATTAACTATATTTTAGTGCAGGGATTTTAATACGTTAAAAATTCAAATGCAATTATTATTTTTTTCTTTTTTACGTACAAAAGTTCCAGGAAGAGCAAAAGTTTGTTCAACAATAATTTAATCTATTTTTTGAAAAGCTTGTTGAGCATCATAATCACGATAATAATTTATAATAATTTTGCACCTAAAAACTAAAAATTAACCAAAACATGAAAAAAACTAAACCTACTCCTATGACTAATAAAATCTAGACTAGAAGTAAACAATATTTGACTAATAACTAATAGAAACTAGCAAACACAAATTAAACAGAACCAACTGAATGAGGCAAAATGTCACAACAAAACAAAACTAAAATAAAACTTAAAACTATTAGATGCCTGGTCTCTAGTGGCACAATAAGCAATAAATCAGTTATTCGCATGATAAATTAAAATAATCTCAATAATTTCCATTGATTTATCATTTTGTCTTTTCTGTCTTTCTACCAAAAACTGGATGTGTGGTGATTTGGTCTCAACTAGACTTTATAATTCATTTTGTTTATTTTTATTTATCTTAAAATATCTTCCAATTCCAGTTGTGTTAAATCTTATCTTTTAGAATGTGTTCTTGCATTATTATTATTATCATTATGTTACCTGAAAATGGTCTCAAAACAACAGAATTATTGTTTATCACAATAACTTCTGGGATAATTTATCGTCCAGCAAAATTTGTTATTGTGAAAGGCTTAGTCTCTCCTTTTAAAACGTTAATATATTTACTTGCATAGATAAACAGACAGTATAATCTCCAGCTTTAACTCCTCTGCCAGCATCACACACATCGTGTCTGTAAGCGTTACCTTGACGGTGCTGATGAGCTGGCCGTCCAGGTACAGCGTGGCCGTGCTGTTTTTCAGCATGCCTTTGCTCATGACGAGCACCAGGTGGTGCCACTGGCCCTCGGCGATCAGCTCTCCACAGCGGAAACGGGCGCAGCACGGCAGGATCTCGTAGAAAGAGGCCTCTTCGCTCGACTCGTCCGCTGCTTGGAGAGAGAGAGAGAAGCAGCATGAATGAGTCACAGAGCTCAGGTAGAAAGAAACAACAAGACTGCACTGCAAAAACACAAAATCTTAACAAGTGTCTTTGGTGTAGTTCCTTGTGCAAACATCTTTTACTTGAAATAAGACCAAACTAACTTATAACTAACTTTTTCAACAAGAACTGAGCAAAATAATTCTTTAATATGGATGAAAAAGTTCTAGTTCCACTGGCAGATTGTTTCACTTACAACTTGGCAAAAATGTCTTGTTATAAGTGAAGTAACATCAATATTCATCAATATTAATTACTTTTTAATATTGTAAACAAAAATAAACAAAATAACAAATACAATGAATTATAAAGTCTCTGCAAACCAAATTGTCCTTCAAAAAAAGGCTTTTTGAGACCAAAGCATCAGGTTGATGACTTTTGTTACCCAGGTTTTGGAAGAAAGAGAAAAACAAGAAAAACAGTAAGTTGTGCGAATGGAAAATATTGAACTTATTTTAATTGATCATGTGATTAATTAATTTATTGCAACAGGCCTACCATTTACTGCTACATTAGGGACAAGGTGAACGAAACAACATTTTATGCTCCTCTGCTTTCTCCCAGTGGTAACGTGAAACAACCAATCAGAGCCGAGAGGCAGGTCTTAGCGTTGTCAATCATGCTTATATATATGCCACCAATTGCTGCCTGCTATGCTACAGCTTCCAGCCTGTTGTGAATGCTAAGGCTAGTTAGACACGGCTCCTGGCTCTGATTGGTTGCTTTTAACTGGAGCATTTCAAACATCCATCCATGTTTGTGTTTAATGATATGTAAGACACAATGCAGGATGCAGGGTTCCTGCTGCTCACAGTATGTCTGGAGCAGCTCCTCCTTGGTGGAGACGGTGAGCGAGCGGTCCTTGGCGGACAGAACCACGGCCAGGCAGACGAAGTGCTGCTCCGAGGAGGTGGCCCGCCGCACCACGGTCAGCAGCCGCACCTGGTGGGCCTGGGGGGCCGCGCTGAACCGCTCCACACAGAACCAGGTGGAGTAGCTGAGCCCGGACGGCGGGGGGAACAGGCGCTCACCTGGAGGAAGAGGAAAGGACCGCGTGAGGAAAAACAAGCAAACAAAAATGACCACGTTGTCATGGTAACAGGCAGGTACAGTTATGAACTTCTTCCAGATTCCTTTTAAATAAGTGCAGCGGCGGTTGTAAAGTTTGGTAAAACTGAGCTCTTCCTCTATGCCTACGGGGTACGAGGTGGGCGTTTATCAAATCGTTTATCATTTATCGTGATGCATTTCTTAGTATAAGAATTCTGATTCATTAACACTATAAATTCCAATTAATTTTTTTTAACTGTTCGATTTTACTATTTTTTCACATTTGTTCAATGAATATATCAATAAATATGGATTCAATTTAAAATGTTTAGTTTTGAAATGTCACAATTTCACAATTTTATTTAATTCATCAAACATTCGATCTAAGTCATAAAAATCATTAGAACACCAGATTAAACATTCAGTCAATCTTACCCCAAATTGTCATTAATAATTTTTATCTACTTGTAGTACAATATTTTATCTTTGCATATGCATTGATGCCACAAATAACATTTTGAAGCCACACTTGCTTGCTTGAAAAAAGTACATTTATTTTATGCATATAAATTTTGTAAGTTGGTAAAACATGGATGTTAAGAGGAGCAGGATTTATTTCTGAATCCATTTCTAGATGACATCATCCACAGGTCTGGGAAGAGGTCTGATGCTGACAGAGAAGAGATGGATTTGGGGAAGCTAAAAGGAGGGAATAAAAAAGAGAGACTGGACATCGGGATAAAAAATGAAAGGGATACGAAGAGAGAAAAATTTGAGCGACAGAGAAACACGAGGGAGGAAAAGAGCAAAACCTATAAATAGAGCTGGACGCTGGGTGGAAAGAGGAGATATATTAGAAACTAGTGGAGAGGGAAAACGTAATGTAAGAGAGGACGAAGAGTCTCTCTGTGCTTCATAAATATTAAACAAGGACATCTAATAGAAATCCATCCATAACGTCACAGATTATATTCATCAAAATGAGCAACAACTATTCCTTTTCTGTTTTATATGGTATATTACCCACCTCAGAGATTTATTATTAGGAGAAACTGCACTGAAAACTAATTAAATCTGCTGCCTAAAGGCACAATCATCTTTTTAAACTTGAGGAATTAACATTATTTTACATTAAAACTAAAAAAAAAAAATCAAAAACCTGAAAACCCACATTTTCTTTTTTGCAACTTGCTGATGCATCAATGTAAGAAATTAGAATCTGCTGCCTGGTGGAAAAGATGGATGCAGAAAATGCTGAGTCACTGGTTGCTACAGTATATAACATCACTCTGATCTATGGAAGCCCAAAGAACGCAATGGTAGAAAATAAATCCTGGTTTCACAAAAATCTAATCTTCAAAAACGAAAAATTCAATTAATCAATCAAATCAATAATCGTTTTATCGCCTAGAACGATGTCCATTGGTTTGTCTGCAACTCCAGTCCTGATACTTTTGGATCCATCTCTGCTCCAACACACCTGAATCAGGAAACAGGACGATATCAAACCTATCAAGATATAAAAGTTTTATATCAGCCGATATCGAAGATTATTGATTTGTTTTTTTATTAAAAATATCTGAAATACTGCCGAACTGGTATCATGACCTTTCCCCTTATCCACATTTTCACTTCACGTCGTTATTTCTTGTTTTTAAGCCGTTATGAAGCAAAGTGGTGAAACCTGAAACTGCTGCTGCGCCAGTTACTCAGCAGGTCGTTGCTAGGCAACGGAAGTTATGTATATGTATAAATTTTATACATTATATTTTCTTAAATGGGATTGAAACAACTTCATTTAACCAGAAACAAACCTTCCTAGCAGGTTGTTACTAGGCAACCAAAGAGTGAGTGAGTGAGTGAGTGATTTCACCTTCCTAACTGAGCGCTCGCTGAGGAGCGCTAAGCTAGGTGGCTTTCCTCTGCCTACATCTCCCAGAATGCTGTGCGTTTCTGAATCAGAGTTCATTGAATATTTTACACATTTAATATTGAATATTTTATCAGATATATTGCAAATAACCACAAATTAAGGTCTGTATTTGTTTGTGTCCCTTTCTAACATGTCACCCTTACTTTGCTTTATGTGTTTTGTCTATGATTGACTTCCTGTTTTGATAGGACAACTTCTGCTTTATGTATTATTTGAAGGCAGCTTAACAACAAAAGACCGAAGACAAGTTCTAACAGAGTTTGATAGAATTAATCTTGTTTTTATTATCTATTGATCATGTGTGTATCATGATATGTACTGTTATTGATTTGCTGTCCAGCCCCAGATGACTGAATTTCATTCTTAGCATTGTCAGCAATTTTTACAAAGACGAGCGAGTACGAAGCAGACATCTTACCCGTCCCCATGCCGCTGAGCACGGCTCCGTCGTTGACCCCGGACGCGGTGGCGGTGCTGGTGGGGGCGTTGTGGGGCGCCAGGCTGGGCAGAAACAGACACCTGCAGAGGGAAAGCAGATTGATGAGCCGTCTACCTCAGGACGCAGCTGTAGCACATGCTAAACACATGCTGTCAGCTTAAACACAGAGGAGCTGCAGAGGAGATTTACAACGTACTTACAGCTGCTGCTGCAAGAAAAACTGCGTAAAAACTTAAAAACAAGAGCATAATTTATGTGCTTTCAAACAGAAAAGCTTTGAAGTATCATAGAAATTTAAACATCAGAAAAGTATTTACTCTGATGAATTTGTTTACTGTGCAGGTGAAGGTTGATAAGGGTCCGTAAACTTTCCCCACAGTAAAATTCAAACACTTTTTAAGGATATTCAAGGTATGTTTTCAAACTTTGGAGATAAAGACAATACAAATAAAGTCAATATTATAACGTAATTTACTACTGTTTTTATTACAGAAAGGTGAGGGAAGCAAAATTGTAACAACATTTTATGTTTGGAAATGTCTCTCTCACTTTATTCACCTGACTGGTCCAAGAAAATACAAACTGAACATACAAATCTAAAAAAAAAATAATAATAATTTTAAAAAAGTGTTTAAAGCAGCATTGTGTAACTTTCATAAAAAGTATTTTTCATTTTTCCCCACTGTCTGAAGAAACGCATCATCTGTCTTGAACTTGTGTTTTTCCTGACTCACCGTCTCTTGGTGAATGTAACATTTTCTCCAGAATTTTCTCCAGAACTGAACACACTTCATGAGGGATTTATATTTTCTTAAATGGGTTTCAAATAACTTAATTTGCCCAGAAACAAAACAAGCAGCCATGATGGCAGCTGCTGACAGTAAAACATCTCAGATACATTTGTTTTCTGCATAACTACAGAAAAAAAACACAGCGTGACAACAGACCACATGTGTGCAAAAAGGAGGAATAAATCAAAGTTGGAACTTTAAACATTTAAACATCAAAGCCTTATAGATGCTCAGTGAGGAGGAGAGCCAAACATCTGGGAAGCATTTTATGCAAAGCAGAAATAAATCAGAGCAGACATGCAAACGAAGAAAATAAGCCGTTGTGTCTCGTTTCATGAAAACTTGTCAATTCAGCAAAATTCTGGAAATTATTTTTACTTAAACTTTAAACTGGAATCCTGCCGTTCTCATCAAAATTACTAAATATGTCAACTAAGTAAGTAAGTAAGTA